TATCGGTACTCGGTATCGGCAAGTACCAAAAATAAAAGTATCGGTATCGGGCGAGTACTGGAAAAAGTGATATCGGTGCATCCCTACTTAAAATGTTATTGTTTGTAATTTTAATATTTTTATCTATAGGCCTATACAGCAAAACTACAGAGCTTCCAGTAGGTTATTTTATGGAGCTGTAAACACGGGAATCTCCGACCGCATGCAATCTTTGACGAACACCCAATTCATATATCAAACTAGGCTATATGTTATTAAATAGTACATAGGCTATATATCAGATTATTTTATTTACAAGTTTCATGTTTTTTTATTCCGTTTTTTCCCCCGTTGCATCTGAATATTACTTTCAGAAAATTTTTTTTTTTCAAACTTTATGATTTAAATGGGGATGATTGTACTGAGAATAACTTTCATCTTTTCTTCAACTGAATACTGTTTCCGTGCTGTTTTGATGTATTTTGATGTAAGAGTTGGCAGTCAAAACTAAAACTGCTGGATGATAGATATTCTTCATTCTTTATGACAAACAAGATAATGTGAATTACAGAATGTACAACGTTTTTAAAATGTATAAATTGCAGTGTACAGCGTTTATTATGAGGGGGTAGAATCCACAGCTCAGTACTCACTACTCAATACTCATGAGTACTTTTAAATAGGCTACTCTTTTACTCTTACTCAAGTAGTTTTTTGGACAAGTACTTTTACTCTACTCACACTACATTTTTTGGAAGGTAATGGTACTTTTACTTGAGTATATTTTTCACTACTCTTTCCAACACTGGCACTATATGAAGGCTGTGGTGGAGAGTTTGCATTAAACAGCATGTCAGGGCATTGCTCAGCGTGTTCACAGAGAGGATGAGCAGTCACATACAGAGGAAACTTTATTGAACTCCTCAATGTCATTGGCATGTTTGACCAAACTGTTGCTAAAAAGATAATCTGTCAAAAGCAAAATATACGAAGTGCAAAAAGAGATCAGCAAAAAATAACAGATTTCGGTAGGGGTGTGATGAGATCTTGGGGCACGAGATCACATGAGATCCGATGTGTCTCGCGAGATCCGACTGGTCTTGCGAGAACGTGATGATATCCTCGCGCTATTGGCATATGTCAGACCTTTCAGACATATCTGCATTACACTGGCTCATTCACCAGTAGTGGTATGCAAGATATTTTATGTTCACCTGTGAATACAATATGCTTACCTGCTGTTAATAGGACACTCCAATGTTTAACTAATCACCAAAATCTTTTATTAGCAAAATCTTTAGGAATCTTTAGGAATAGTTATGTGCTGAACAATTGGGCTAGTGCTGCTTCCTCAAGAACGTTTATCATTCTCACATGATTTAAGCCTTGTCATTTTAAACATTAAAGTGTTTTAAGCCATTCAAGCATAAGAATCACTCGCGCGTTGTGATAGACCGTTTCTGTGCACATGAATGCACGCATGCAAAAAGCCGCAGCTCAGACAGCATATGTGAGAACCAAATTGAGTTCTCTTTTGCGTCTTGACCAAATGCACACAAAATTATGTCAGAATCACGGTCTTGACGAGTATTCACGTTAACACGTATTTTTTCCAACCCACTCTTCACTCCAAACTAGCAGGTTCAGGACTTCCACTCGTAATGGTAGTAGCCTACTACTCAGTCCCCTTGCCATATCGGGTCAAATGCATAAGCAATTGCACTTATTATGGGCTCAACAGTCCTTTTAAGTTCGTCTTCCTCAATTTATAAACAAGTGTGTGTTCAAAAAGTAAAGAAATGCTTACTTTACTGCACTGGCCAACAGAGCGAACCAACCCTGTGACATCACATGCTGTGGTACTGCAAGATGGCGGCGTCAACCACAACAACCGTCGCATTGTCCTGGTTTGAGACTGTAAATAGTACTAAATGACTGTTGTCACCAATTTGGTGAATACTGATATTTCCCCGGTGCCATGGGTGCTTTTTGCCCTTGACTAAAATTCTGAAATTTTGTTCAATGAATGTCAATATGCAAAATCTTTAGGAATAGTTATGTGGTTGTTTAGTTTCATGAAATTAAAACTTAAATTGTGATGAATAAAATAATTGAATATAAAAAAATTTAGTGCACAAGTTTTGCTCATATTTATTAACAGCATATATATATATATATATATATATATATATATAAAATTGCGCAGCTCCCCCTGTCAATGATCTAGCACCCCCTCAGCACCTGCATTCAAAATTTTCTGGTGCCACCCATGCAGCTTATATCTAAAGTAAACTTAAATAACAAATAACACTGTTGTTGTCACGATTGCCTATGGAGAGAAACAAGGAAAGCGGAGACAGACTAAGGAGCCATGGTGGAGCAGTAGGGCTGTGCAAATAATCAAATGCGATTTTCATATATATATATAAAATTGCGCAGCTCCCCCTGTCAATGATCTAGCACCCCCTCAGCACCTGCATTCAAAATTTTCTGGTGCCACCCATGCAGCTTATATCTAAAGTAAACTTAAATAACAAATAACACTGTTGTTGTCACGATTGCCTATGGAGAGAAACAAGGAAAGCGGAGACAGACTAAGGAGCCATGGTGGAGCAGTAGGGCTGTGCAAATAATCAAATGCGATTTTCATGCCCATCTGGTCAGTAAAGCCGGTTCTGTGATTAGTAGTAGATCTCCAGCACATGTTTTCAGATGGAGCGGCATTTACTACACAGAGCCGTAGTTCACTGACAAGTTACGCAATATCGCGTTCAAAATCGCAGGCGATTCATTGCCGAGTTCAGGAGGCCATGGCGGAGCGGCCTCTGTGGCCTTGGCCTCGGCATCCGGCCCAGCCTCTACAGCCGGAGCCCTATAGCCCCCACAAAAAAAATTCCTTGGGGGAAATTTCGGGTTCTGAGGCCCTCCGTGGGCCAGGCCTAGGAACAGTGGCCCTCTTTGGGCTGGATGTGGGAACAGGAGCTCTCTCAAGGCTGGACGTGGGAACAGGAGCTCTCTCTGGGCTGGACGTGGGAACAGGAGCCCTCTCTGGGCTGGACATGGGAACTGGAGCCCTGAGACTGCAGCGGCCGGCAGGATTGACGGAGGAGAGGCCGGCTGGCTTGACTGCGGAATGGACAGCGGGCTTGATGCAGAGCTGGTTCTGGATCGGGGCCGGACACTCACCAGACACCAGAGGATACCTTCCCTCCAGCTCAGTCCAGTGGTGACTGGGAGGTCCACGGGGCGATGGTAATTGGCCCCGATCCAGAACAACGAATTAAGGGTGGCGTCATCCAATGCCGTCATCACTGCGAGCCCGCAGAATTCCTGGGTGAACTCTACAAATGGGAGATCCTTGCAGGCTAGGGTGGCGAATCTCGCTGCGATTTCCATAATCACTGGAAAAAAAACAACTTTCAGAAACGGAAACAAAAACGGGGGGAAGGGGCGCCGCTTACTGTTATCTGGACTGGTGTTCTGTCACGATTGCCTATGGAGAGGAGCAAGAAACGCGGAGACAAAGGATATAGGAAATATGAACAACAGTCTTTAATAAACAAACCTAGGGTAATACAGGGCTGGCTGGACACACATGTAGCACAACGTAGACGTTCAACACCGGACAGGAAACAAGGGGCAGAACACAATTTAAATACTGTACTTAATGAGGGAATTAATGAGACACACCTGAGATCAATGAACACAATCAGAACACGGGCGAAACTGGGTCACGGGGAGCACAACATAAGACAGGAACACAGGGCAGTCCAAGGGCATGACAGTTGGGAGAACCAGTTTTATCTGTTTGGAAATGTTTATTCATTTCCATAAATGTTTATACCCAGAACTCAAAATGGAGAGAGAGAGAGAGAGACTGAAATATAAATGCTTATTAATTTCTATAAATGTTTTCACCCAGATCGCATAATGAAGAGAGAGACAAACTGAAATTCAGAGCGTTTAGTGTTTTTGCGAACAATATGATTTTGGCAAATCAAAAATAAAATGAAGTGAAAACAACTTAGGTGTTTCTTTTTTATATTCCTTCCTTTGTCCTGTGTATAGTGTAGCGAAGATCTTTACCTTTTTATCTTTTACCTTTTTATCTTTTACCTTTACCTTTTCATAAATGAAAGGAAAACAGACTCCTGTTGGCTTGCATAAGACTTTTTTTTCAATGTAGATAGGCCAGTGGTTTGTGTGAGACTGAAGTCATTCTTCTTTCTCACGGGGTGTTTTCTTCCTGTTTTAGAAAAGAAGCATGGCAGCGAGAAGTGGCAGTAAGTTCTCTTCAAAAAATTTTAAACTACTAACTCACATTATTTGGTTTAGTTGTCAATCAAAACCTTGGTGTGCTGGGGGTGTGCTGCTTAACCACTATCATAGATTGTGATTTGTTAAAAAACTTTAAGCATTTTATGTTGTTATTTTATGTATAAATGTAGGTTGTTCCTACAGTTCAGTATCTTTTGGTCTCTGAATCTTTGCATATTTCTGTTTTATGTTACTAGGCTTCTAGCCTTTAATGTGTAAGACTTATGTCTTATGTCTTATTGTGTAAGACGTCTTGTGTAAGCTCCTTATGTGTTGTCTGACTACATCAATTTGACATTTTGAAATGTTTGGTACTTTGTTACACTTGGTACATTGTTATACTTTCGAGATACAGGCCACTACCTGTATAGATGGAGGAACCAGAGTTCAACAAAAAAAAAAATCAACAAAAGCATGTACTTAAAAGTACTTCAAAGACTGAATTGTAGGAATAAACCTTTTAAACAAAATCACAGCACAGGTGATATTTAGAATTTTGTCCATGTGTTTTTTCCCTCACAGATGACTTTCAGCTTGTTATTCCTGGAAGAGGTGAACGAGTTAAGATTAATTCGGGATCTACTCTCACTGTGTCGTGTCACTTGTCTCCTGCAATCAGTGCTGTTGACATGGAGATTACTTGGTTTGGTGTGATGTCTTGTGTTTGTGCCTATAAGAACCGAGAGATGACACAGGGTGTTGGCTATGAGGGCAGAGCGAGACTGTTCATTCATGACCTGAAGAGAGGGAATGTGTCTTTAAGAGTGGCAGACTACAAAGAATCAGATCTAGGAGTTTACACGTGCCAGGTCACCAGTAGAAATAAAACACAACAGATAACAGTAAATGTAGCAGAAGAAGGTAAGCTATTCACTCACTCCACTCATGATGGGTCGGTTACACAAGCTAGACGTACACTCGGTTGTAAGACTAGGTAAGATGTAAATACGCCTTAAGTACTGCATAGAATTAATGGTAATTAATGGTAGTTGTATGGTTGTCTGCAGTTCCAACCATAGCTATAGTAATTAATAAATTAGAGTTCAATGAAAAGCAGTGCCTGTCCAATTAACACTTTTCTTTGTTGACATATGCAGTCTCTGCCATTTTCAAGGACCAGCACTTCTTTACAGTGGTAAGACGGCACCTATTGTTCTTTTTATGAATAACATACTACATATGGCACAGTATAACACAATATACAAGACAGTATAGAGGCAGACCAGAGCTAGAAAATAAACAGTGTTACTAAAAACAAGTATATATATATATAGTTTTCCAGAAAATATATTGTGCAAAGGGGCAAAACTGTCTGGACAAACCACTGTGTTACTTGCCTCAATAGCCATAAAATTTAGATAAATTACTAAAGGATGAAAAGCTCATAGAACATGAAACTAGAACTGCTGGTTTTGAAACAGGAAATAAGGCTCAAACAAATTACAACTACACAGTACATGCCAAAGGAGGCATACACCTGTGTAGAAATACATTACTTGGTAACCAAGACTCAAGTGGAGACAATAGCACAGCTGCAAGTTGCCATAACAGGATACAAACAACATCAATGCAAAATAAGAAAAATGTGCAAATATAAAGCCAAGCTTTTTGGGTACTGTGGGTATGAAAAGTTTATGGAGATGTGGTTGAAGACAGGAACCAAGACGAAACTGGCATAACCGATCTTGATGAGTAATCAAAAAGTATTTATGCATTGTCAGATTGTATTGTCAGATTGTGGTGTTTGTGTTCCAGAAGTCAAGAATTAAATAAGGCATACATATAAAATAATCTAGACATCAAACATATCAAAAACCTCCTGTCCATTTACCCCATAAACATCAACCAGTTGTGGAAATAACATTTCCTTTATAAAATAAGGCTAGCAAAAGAAATATTGTCTGCTAAATACATAAAAGCTTCATATATTTCTTGCTACATTGACATGTATGTTGTGACTTTCATTGTATGGAATCACAGTAAATAATTCCTTGTGTTATATTATGTTTGTTTACACAATCCGAAATAAATTATTTTTCTCAATTAGAATTACAAGATGGGAGAAACCAATAACAGTAAGTTGTCTTAAAACTCTTTGTCATCCTTATAAAATCTACAGTAGCGTTCAGAAGTTTGGTGTCAGTGAGATTTTTACTTTTAATCAGTAAAGATGCATTAATTTGAAAAGTTACAAAGATATTTATAATGGTACAAAAGATTTGTATTTAAAATAAATGTTGTTCTTATGAACTTTCTATTCGTCAAAGAATCTTTCAAAAATGCATCTCGATTCCTTAAGAATATTATGCAGCACAACTGTTTTTTTTTTTACATTTACAAGAAGAAATGTTTTTGAGAACCAAGTCAGCATATAAGACATATATATATATATATGGGGGTGTAGAAAGAAGTAACGCATTGCCTGCGATGCCTTCTGTGCCACTGTAAACTGCTCTGCAAATCCATAAACGGCAGAGCCAAACAGTACCTTGGGAGAGACTGGTGAGTCTAGGAAGGTGACCTTGTCAGCGTTTCCTGTTCTCTGTTAGATTTAGTCAAAGTTGGCCATGGCTTTGCCGATCGCCTGCACCATGGCCTTAGTAGTGAGCAGAGCCAAGTCAGACGCTATGTGCAGCTCTTTGAAGTCATCAGAATTCTGGTCTGGTTTGGCCTGGAATACTTGAAGCACTGCCATCGTGTGAAGCACTGAGCCAGCCTGGCCAGCCACTGAATACACCCTGTTTGCAAGAGCTGAGTTAGTCCTGCAGGGCTTAGATTGGTGCGCTGCATGGGCTTTCAACCCCTGTGCCGATGGAAGGCACAGATGCACAGCGATTGCCTCTTCCAGAGGGGGGAGCTTGCTATAATCTCGTTCTTCAACGCCGTCAACAGGGGTGAGAGCGGTAGAAGTAGAGGGATTAACACGCACCGAGTAGGGAGTGCACCACGTCCTGGTGAGTTCCTCGAGAAACTGCCGGCAGGAACAGGGTGGGCCATTGGCGGGAGGAATGTTGAAGCCGTCCCTTCGGGTACCACTAATCAAGGAGTCTGTGGGTGGGCTCTTCCGGAGCCGACCAAGCCAGGCCGAGATCCTCCACAGCCTTGGTGAAACATTACTAACCCATAGATCTAATTTGAGAAGAGGATACTATTTTTTGTGCTCTGTAGAGTTGTCAAAGCATCACAATTCAGTCAATCAGCTTGAGGTTTGCGTGCACATTAATATTATTAACTAATGCACACACTGTGGTTTTTAGAGGCGTTGGGGGTAGAGTGAAGTGTGCGGGAGCTGCGCCGGTGTGAGTTCACTCGAGCCTGGTGTTTAAGCCCCGCTGCTCCACTGTTTCTTCCTCCTGAGGTATAAGGGAAATGGGAGAGCAGAGGGGGGAGGACCGCCTTCATTAAAGAAGGCGATCCGTGAGTGGAGGAGGGTGACACTCATGCTCTCACAGTAAGAACGTTCCGTCCAGGTGAGTGCAGCCACTGCGTGGGCGCTGCCCAGACAGGCGACGCAATCATCGTGC